ACTAGCTGCCTCCTGACAGGGTCCCTCTGTGTGCGAAGCAACAACTGTACTTCACTGGGAGTCTTCTGGTTCCCGAGTTCCTTCTCTATCACAGGTGCAAATCCATTTTGACTACCAAAACGAACAGCTGAGGGGTCGGCTTGCTGCACATCTGGTCCTAAGCTGTCCAGAGGGAAGGCTGCCTGTCCAGTGCTAATAGCACTAATTGTCAATAGCCCTCCCTGTTTTCTTCCTGGTTTAGTTTTAATCCTCTTCTGCCAGTCGAGACTATTGAAATGTGGCAGCTCAAGGTTTTTTTTTTTTCTCCCTGTAAACAAGTAACAAAGGCTGTTACGCCACGGGAGCTGTTGGTTGCAGTCGTGAACAGTTCTGGTGCAGATGTGAAAGGTGGTGGTCTTGGTAGTTTGGAAGGATCGTAGTCTAATGTATTTCCTTAAACTTTGTTCCAACGTTTTCTGTTACCTGGGCTTTCCCTGTCCTGCTCCCAGCTACTCTGTCCACCTCCTCTGTGGGAGAAGGCGTGATGCTTTGAATAGCCGGGGCCCGACCTTTAATGTGCTGTTAGTTTAGAAACGCAGAGGTGAAAGTTCTTTCACCGCGAGCGTACTTTCCAGCATAGATCAGTCTGTTAAATCTACAACGTGCAGGTTAAAAATGGCTGAAATGTGCATTTACAATCATGCTCTTATTTTAAATGCTTTCAGGCATTACGCATGAGCACTTGACATGTGAGCGGTGAGTGTTTGCAGTTGAAATTGTTACGTACAACAAAAGCTGTCTGGACTGAAATTGAAACGCATCTGCGCAAAGCTCTGGAGCGGAGCAGATGGAGGCAGGGACATACTATCCCGGCTTGACCCTGCCTTTTCCTGCAATTCCGCAAGCAGTTCCCGGACCTCCCTCGGAGCGGAGACGGTAGTAACTGCGCGGCCCAAGGAGGTAGAACGAGGCATATGCTTGAAGGGGCCATGTATTCTGAAAACTGTCGTCTGCTGGGACCAGTAGTAACTGGTTAATGTGGAGCATTCCGGGGGGGGGGGAAAAGTGTAACTGAATTAATTTTTAGGCAGTTACGACCCCTTTAGTAAGCTGCTTTGAAGCCAAGGAATTTGGCTTCTCCTACAGAAGCTTCTCATTCAGAAGGGAGCTCTCCTTGTTCCTGGCTGGGGCCCTTTGCGGCCGTGGGGGATGTCTGTGCAGCTGCGTGCGTGGTACACCAGCAGTTCTCGGGGTTGCAGGGAGAGGTGGTTGTTGCAGCTCTGCAGCCTGTTTTAGCTGATTACCACCTTCTTGTGTTACCAAAGCTACGTGGTAGCAAAGACCGTATGACAAGTAGAGCCTAAAGTGCAAGCAAGGAGACTGGCTACAGTTGA